GTTTTTGCAAGCTGCAAGGTTGAGACCGGTTGCACCCAAGCTTCTCCTGTTTCTCTAAAGCATCCGTCTCCTTATAGTGCCACGACAAAGGGAATCAGGCAAGATAGTGAAAAGCCTAGCTTTCACTGACGAATTACCTCACAAAAGCATGAAGTAGGTAGACAACACCAGACGCACTCAATCTGAAAATAGCTGTTGCTTAGGAACTGGAGGGCTAAAATGCAGCACCTCAGATATACAATCGAGAGCATTTATATTTAAAGAGAATTAAAAACACTGGACCTCTGTGCTTCTCTCCCCATTATCATACTTTTATAATGTTGGAGGAATGATCGCTCAATTCCACTGACTCCTGGGGCTACGCCTACATCTTCAGCAAGCCAAACAAGTCTTGATGACAGAGTAATAAATAACTCCCACACATTTAAGGTCCCTTGTAAAAACGTGTGCACAAAGTGTGCTGTGGGACACTCCTAAAATATCTTAGATGTATCAAGTATTATGTTTTAGTAGAATAATTAAAATACAGTTTGCATTTTTTTTCTGCAGACAGATAATATACCAAGGATGAATTCTGCTAGTCACGTTTTCTTGTAGCATGTACTGGTATTAGAAATGGGTATGCATATTTTCCCCTCACATGAGTGAGATGATGTGGTTTTACAGACTGCATGTGTATATTTGAGAGAGATTTCTTTAGGTGGGTTAAACATTCCTAAACATTTAGGAACTTCTTTAATCTAAACATTTGGGAATTTCTTTAACTTGGAACTCGATTTTTAAGTTTTGTGCCTAAATCCTAATCTGTATTAATTTTAAAAATTAAGCATGAAACATAATGAAATTCAGTTTATACTTTCTGTCTGATTTCAAATCCAGAGAGTAAGCTCTCTGCATGAAGCATTTATAGCAGGAAGAGATCAAAAAAAAGAAGAAAAAAAAAGGCAGCAGTAGTAGGTAGCCAGGAACTCATTGCTCTTTGTAAGGCAACCTATAATTCACCCTAATTACAGCACCTTTAATAGTATAATTATTCTAAACGAAAAGGAACCCTATGACATACACACATACATATACATATATATATATATATATGTATGTGTAATCTACAAAAATGTGACTGCAGTGTTGGTTGTAGAAGCCAGGAGCAAGTAAAATATTGTAAAGATGCTTTTTATTTGTCCCATTTACATTCTATTGAATGGCAGATGCGTGTCAGGAGAAAAAATTCTGCAAACGGGAGTTCCCATAAGCCCCAGTGTATTTCATTTGACATCTATCACTACCAGGAAGTACATCACTTTGCATTTAGTTCCCACATGCAGAAAAAGAACACGTTTTCCTTTAAGTCATTAAGAAGTATGACATGCACTGTAGTAGTTTCCTCTCATGTTTCAACACATACCATAGAAAACCTACTAATTCTTAAAAAAATCTTAATAGAGTTAGTTTTGTTTGATGAGTCTCAGTAGGATAATATCATGAGTTTATATGTGGATTTTATTTTTATATTATGGTAAACCAGTGGTTCCACTTACTTTTCTCATGGGTGACATTGCTAACATTCACACATGCAGGTGGCTTCCTAAGATCTATCTTTCCACTTTCTTCACTTTACTCCGTAAGACTTAAAAGAATATTGAAAGACTACTAAATTGGCTCCCAATAATGTAAACCTAAACCTCTTCCTTCCCTCTCACTGCTTGCCTGAGCAGTGCAGGCTACCACTGCTCAGGAGAGACCTCTCCTCCCAAGTCCTAGTTCTCTGCTGGACAAAAGCCCCACAGATCTAGGGATCACCATAAGCAACTCTGAGGCAGATCCTGCAGCCAATTGCCAGTCTATCTTTAAACACCTGATGTGTTAGACTTGAAGGAGAAACATAACATACCTAACAGATTACTCACTAATTTTTAAGCAAGGTCTTGTTTAACAAAGGGTACATTTATTTAGGACACAAATTGGCAACAATGCAACTGAATCACAAAAGGATAAAATGGGTCTTTTATATTACAGGCAAAAATTGGAACCTCCTATATTTCTCCTAACCTTTCAAGGAACTAGTGAATTTAGGTTTAACACTATTCCTACCACAGACAGTTTTCAGAGCCATGCAAAAGAGTCTGAGGCTACAGTGGAATAATTAAGGCTTATTTTCTTCCCCATGATGAAACTTTTCTTCCTCGTTTCTTGAGACAGGGCACTAGGATACCACATGGTAATCAGAGAGCTTGGGTCATTTTCTTTTCCCACCTATTCAAGATCCTTTAACATTTCCGTGGTACACACTGATTGTTAGTTTTACAAGGTTCTTCCAAGTTTTTTAACAACTAGCTTTCTAGATGCTTTGCAGAACATCTATACATCACATGAATGAAATAAAAGAGTACTTACAGAATGAAATTGATTAAAACTATGCACTTCTTTTTAATTATATTTAGAAGAAGACACCCCACTTCTCTGTCAAGGAAACCCTACATACACAGATTGTACCCTGTTTTGAAGCAATGCTCTTTTGAGGGTGAAGTAATTTTATTTTTTTAACAAAATAAGCAAAAATAAAATACATTCTGCCTAAGAAAAAAAAAGTAATCAGCAGGAGCCTTCTGCATGAAAATATGGTACATAGTTTTCTAGAATAATGTTTTTAATAATTAAAAAAAAATCCTCCAAGAAAGGTTCAAATGACTGCAGACTGACCTGCAGAGAAGTCCACTGACCTCCTCACCCCTTTGTTTTTAAAATACAAAATGGTGATGGAGTATCTAAAACATCACACAAGGAAGGAACAAAACCATTCTCAGAAAGAGAGAAAATTTTAGAATTTATATATATAGAGTTATCTTACAATTATCTTCTTTGCAGTCTCTACTGAAACCCAGAGAACTTCACCTATATATTTAGCAACCACTTATCTCCTCTTGCCCAAGTACAATCTTCCTTAACAGTACCCAACAAATGGTTTTACCTACACTCCAAGTAGACGGGAATTTGCAGCAACTGAGTTTATGACCATGAGACCTCTTCCTCTGAAATTAGGCCATGCCATGCAAGCCTTCCTTATTCTCAGGAAGGAGCGAAGTAGAGAAACCAGGAAATATATTAATTTCTCTGGAAGCCTCCTTGGAAGAAACCATACCCTCATGAGAAAAAAATAATTAAAAAATTCTTTGGCAACTATTTCATCCTGACTTCACTTTTTCAGAAAACTCAAAAGGGATCTATTAAACAGCCCAAGTCCAATTTCCTGCAGCAAGATGCATTTTTGATAGCCAACTTGATCCATCTTACCTTTTAATTTAAAATGTTTGGACCAGATTGACACCACTTACCTGCCACCTAAATACTTTTCATGAGTGTTTCTTATTAGCAAGCTATAAACCTTAAAAAATGTCTAGCCTACAACAAAAAACCCTTCAAGCATGGAAACACTCAGCTAACAGGATGTATCAGGCATGAGCACTTAGATAGGACTTGATGCAATAATAGTGCAGACTTCATCTGCACACCAGTCTGCAGTCTCTCAATATTTGGCTGCCATAAGGCAAAGCGTTCAGACTGTAGGGCATGGTTCAGAGCATACAAAAGACTACTCATATTTTCATATGCATGCAAAAATTAGATGAAGATTTGCAATAATGCTAGAAAACTTTGAGGTCTAAGTCAAGTCAAGGGTATTTCAAGTGACTGCATTCCTCAACAGTAGTTTAGAGGAGGCCAGTTTACCTACCACTCCTTGGACCAGAGGAACATGACGTGATCAACTAGCACATCAGATGAGGGAGGAGAAATTATATACTGAACAGGTCTCACTTCCCTGGATAGGATTTCCCTGATTTCTAAAATTCTTCCGTTTCCACTGAAAACTAGCTTGCTTTCTGTTTTTTTTAATCTTTTTGAAATGATAGACTGTCACCTGATAAAATAAGATCTGCAACCCATCTTAAACTGCTAATGACTGAATTTCCTGCAAATTTTAAGACAGTTTTGAAATGAGATGCAAGACAGAAGCTTAGAAAATTTCAGGAAAAAAAAAAAAGTATATTTCTGCAACAATAAGAGCAAAAAAGCAAAACTTAGTAAATTAATTTTTCATTAAAAATAGTAAATCTTGTCTATTAAAATAAGTAGCAGCTTCCTGGTTAACATATGATATATTCTCATTATAAAAATAGGTATTCTAGTGATTTTTGCAAGGGGCATTATGAAGGTTAGTCTAGGAACCAAGTTGCAAACATGTAGCTTCACAGCAGCAGAGCCTGTTTATTATAGATTTAGACATAGATGTTCACATTCATATACAAGTCCTTCACTTGAAGGAAAAGCAATTCCATAATACTGGAGCCCTAATAATGTATTAATATAATTTCAACACCAGATGGGAAAGACTACTTTACCCAAGCAGGAAAATTCCTGAACGTCAATATTGGTAGCAATGTCTCATTTGCAGCAACTGTAATTCTATAAGTAATGTAAAAATGTATCAGCATGATGCCATTATCACTGCCAGCATAACTTCCTTTCAATGATATGTCATGAGCAAACCAGTAGCTACACATGGCTTTCCTACACCTACTCACACAGCTCTAACACCACTAATTCCTTTATTATTGAACAAGGTGAGAAGGCCATCCAAGTTTTACAAGTTTGTCAGGTTTACAAAAAAACACCACGAAACAAACATACATACATTGTTTGAAATTGCATTCCTGATGGAAACAGCTGAATAAGAAATGTTTTCTCAGTACATCTAATCCACCTTTCTGCTACTGAAAGAAACTTTCTGTTGTGTGACTCAATTCTGTCTGGATTAACTGTATGGATTACAGCTCAAAAATTATATTAATGGAAGCTGTCATGGTTTTATGCTTTTTTCCATTGATTCAATACTGTAAATATTAACAAAATTAACAACTTTGACAAGCTCAGATGGAAAACTTGTTTGAATACCTCAAACTTACAAAAAGTCAAAACCAAACACAAAATATTGAGCAACTGACCTGTGAGCCTCTGGGTCCTCGTTTGTGTTCCCATTCAGAATGCCCCACAAGCTGAAAAACAAAGAAAAGCACAGTTAAGTGAGACATTACACTCATTAACTTTAATTGAAACATTAATGCTTTTATATCCATTATACATTTTCTTTGGAAAACAGGTTTGCTTTTATGATTTATTTCACACAGTTTTTAGTGTTGTAATGAGGGTGAGAAGACTTGGGAGTTGTTACTATAACTTTGGACCTTTACATTCAGAGCCAAAACACACCTAGCATCATGACACCACTCATGCCAATACAATTCCCACTGCCATAGATTAAGCTTTAGCCAAATGTTTAATACCGACCTGTCAAAATAAAGCTGATAGCCAGAGGACGTTTGATTAAATAGCAATCACAGAATCATCTAGGTTAGAAAAGACCCTGAAGATCATCTAGTCCAACCATTAACCTAACAATGACAGTTCCCAACTACACCATATCCCTAAGTGCTATGAGGACCCGACTCTTAAACACCTCCAGGGATGGGGACTCCCAGGCATGAAAGTTAGCGACAGCTTTACTTCTGTCTCACCACTGAATTGTTCTCATTATAATAAAAAAGTAAAGGTACACCCTCTAAAGGAAAACAGGTTGTGGTCATTACATTGCAGAGGAAAACAAAGACAAAGAGAGTTCAGAGATGATGGGTTCTTGTGGAAATTAAGATTTGTGATGGTATACAGATCCTCAAGTTGAAGAGAGGGCCAGCATTAATTATAGCCCAAATTCAGCTCTCAAATCCTCTGTGCAACCCCTACAGGAGATTGTGCTGTGAGAAATGTGGTCAGACATTGAAGGCACAGATGGACTCCAGAAAAAATAATTTGTCTTGTCCCATCTTTTTTCTACTGTACTTCATAACTGCATGCTAACACAGGCACTCACTCTCTTTCTTTAAGCAACATATAATTTGCACACAGCAGCTCCTTCCATGTATGTCATGGTGGAGGACAAAAAAAAGACAAGAATAACCAGCAGACTTTTTACTACTTTATATATCCAAAGATTATGGGCAAATGTGAACTGTTGACAATAAAGCTATCCTCACACCTGCCTAAAAAATCCTGGAAAGCACCAGGGAGTGCCCAGGCACAGATCCGGTGAAGCAGCTGCTGCTGCTAATCCTGCCTCTGAGCGCTTGGCCAGTGTGTGTTCCAGACTGGGAGCTGGCTTTTTTAATAGCTACTCAAGGATCTCTTCTGTGTAATGCTTTTCCTTACTCATATGAGCATAGCTTAATGTAAATATAAAAATATGTAAAGGAAAGATAGGAGGGTTAATGTGCCACGTAATGACTTACAGTCATGAACATTTTCTTGCTCTTTTTTTTCTCCACCATTCTTTCCCAAAGGAAACGTCTTCTCCCAGGTCAGAGGTAGGCAACAAGATTTACAACCTATGCTTATTGCAAAACGTGCTTTTGAAACACTCATCCCAGGACAAGATATTAAAACTACTTCAAAAAGTGAGGAAAACCACATACATCTCATATGAAATATTTATCTTCTCCATCAACTATTCCTAATTATGCTTTACTTCTCCAAGGGCTCCTTCATTTTTTTTTAAATTATAACATAATTACCTACCCTCATAACTGGAGACAAACCACACATGCAGATAGGCATCAAAGATCAGAAATGTCACACCATTTCTTTACCTAATACAGCCTCACGACTGACTCCCTTGTTTTACTGTAATTATTTCCTTTTTCCACATACTGTTGGTGGAAACACTGGCTGTGCCAGGTTTCTTTGTTTGTTTCTCCATACTCTTATGTTTGCACATTACTGTATGAAACCAAGCTTTGATGTTTATGAAAGCTGGTCTCACAGTAAATAACCGGCATGAAAAGCTACCATGAGATGCATCTACCAAAGGTTATGTACTTCACAGAACCTCTGCCAAAACCCACATACCTGTGCTTCCTCCCTGGCTCCTGCCACTCTGGATCAAGAAAAGCCCTTCAGTTTTAACTCCTCAGCCCCTATGCCTTGTGGGAAAGTGGTGCCTGCTTTCTTAATTTACTTGGCTAAAGAAAAATTAATTTAGCATGAGTCTGACCACCTGTAATTCCCAGCATGATAAAGGATATCTTTACCTACAACTTCCTACCAGTAAAATTGGCACATAAAGTATGCCTGTTATTTCACAGTTAAGAAAAAAGGATGAATTTTACAGGCCTGGCTGTAGTCACTTTGGTTCTCCAAGCTCTATAGTCATTTGGCAGCACATACCACACCTTCAAAACCAAGTGTAGCATGAGATCCCACTGCCAGGCTTTTCATGCTCCTATCCTCACTGAATCCACAGCTTACTGAAAAGCAAAGGGCTGCTTTACTAGTGCCACCAAGCAATGCAGTTAAGAGTCAAGCTTGGAGTTACCAGTCCCATTAGAGGACGTATACCAAGCATAGGGATGCTCCCAGTCCAGACAGTCCCAGGAAATCAGACTGATGTGTGGCAGGGGTGGTTACTTGTGAGCACCACCAATCCTCAAGGCCAGCTCAAGTCCTCTTGAACATTCATTCTTCTTCAGACACAGTTTTCCCACCCTGCTCCCCAGTTACTGCCTGGTGCTTCACATCTCCACACAGTTTTTTAGCCCCCAGACTGCTCTACTGTGCTTCCCCAGCCCACAGCCAGGCCTTGATCTGCTGCCCCTCCTCCTCCACAGCTTGCAGGTGCCTTTAGGCCCAGGTCACCCATCTCTAGCCCTTGTCCTCTACCAGGAGTTGGCAAACCTGGGGTGCTCCTGCTGGATGTTACAGTAGTGGCTAACATTACAGCGAAAAATTAGTCTGGAGCCTATAACAACTCATCCTTGCTTCATTTCTCAGCATCTAACTACCAAAATCACTTATGGAAGAGAGGTCAAACTCACCAATGAAGCAACCAGTCATAAACTCATTTGAACAAGTGAATTGACCCCTTGCTTATTCTGGCACTGTTTTATTAGCAAGCTGCTAACTCCTCATAGCAAATTACACAACCTGAATTTCATCTAATTTCTCTACAAACGTGCCTTTGTGGAATCAGCCTTGTTTGTATTTTTGCTGATAGATCCACTCCCCCTAGAGTAAAAGAATTTCAATGTAATTCTTATCTCTTTGTATGTCACCTACTATGCCAGGATGCTCTGAGTTAACCCTGTGGTTATGACCTGGTAAAATGCTGAGCATGAGGAAGAAAAGGAAGAGTTCTAGGACAGTAAGAGACTTTGCCAATTATAGACAGTTTTCAAGCATGCTAGCAAAATTCATGACCCTCTGAAGCCAACCATTACCTCCCTTTTTTATAACCTTTAAATCTTACTTGGCTTTAAAAATGTATTTCTCCCTCACAATCTAGAAAACAGTTTTCATCTCATGCTAGAATGGTGGCCTATCTGCAATGGCCCACAGAAACAAAAGCAGTGAAGGAGGAAAACAATAAGAAGTATACCACACTTAGAAAAGGGCCTCAAGGTTTAAGACAGAAGACAGAAAACAAAACAAATAAACAGAGCAGTTGTAACAGAACTTCTTCCAGGCCAACAACCTACAGAGGAATGACTGCCTCCATAAGACACCTTTTAGCTCAGCAAGCCACACTGGACTAGATTACTTCTGAACCTGGGAAAGATTTTCTCTGGATGGACAAACAGCCAGTATGCCTGACCTATCAGGCTACCTGGAAATCACAATTTCCACAAGCTTTGTATAAATCAAAAGATGAAGAAAAGAGTATTGGGAAAAAAAAAAAAAAACAAAAACCACACACACAAAAAAACAAACAAACAAACAAACAAAAAACAAAAAAACCAACATCTCAACAAAACAACCATAAACACTTAGAAACATAGTGTGCATAAATCCAACTGAGCCTGAATCAACCTTCTGAAATCTGAAAAAAAAATATTGTTCAGTTATTGTATGCATGAAAACAGATACAGACACCAAAATGCATTTGGAAGTGGAGGGATTTATGTTTATCACTAACAGAAGGGTTTATTCCAGATCACACCACCTCTGCTAAAAATTAATATGAATCAATTTGGTCTAGAGTGATGTTAAACAGCCTCACACCATGAAATTACTTTTCTTCATCATTTTTACTGACCAGGCTGCTGAAGCTGAGTGTACCAGCAGCAGAAAAGGAGGGATAAAATCAAACTCAACACTCCCACATGGCTTATATGCCTGCAGTCTCTCTCAGAAGGAAAGTATCTACTTTACATTTCATCTAAAACTGTGCTGGAAACCCAGCTCTTGACAGTATTAACTCTTAAAGATAAAGGTAGCTTTCAGCAACAAGAACAATTCTTGCATGTTCAAGAATGCACAAAAACATAGACTTTTCTTAAGCCAACTGGCTCGCTCTACCCTACTAACTAACCCGTCTAACCCATCTCCAGGGAAAACAGCTTCCCAGAGCCCAGCTGTGTGTGAGGACTGAATGGAAAAGGAGGCAGGAATGGAGGACACCCTAATAGCAAAATCACAGTCACAGAGAGAAAGAGAGAAGTGAAACAAGGGTAGCTCATTCTGAACATGTAGGGTGGTAGCCTGTGCTCTAAAAAGCAGGGTTTTGTTATAAACACTATAATATGGCTTTGTGGTTGTAAAACCAAATTTTAAATGTAAACCAGATGTTCACTAATGCAATGATACCTGCAAAGGAGTAAGAAATTGTATAAGGGACTGTTTGCATCAGAGATAACCATGCCAAAGTAGAATAAAGGCATTTCAAAATTGGCATCTTCAGATCTCACTTGTCTAAATGCAGTTCTTCTCCTATTTGGTGATTTAATTAAAGCCCCAGAATATGATTGCATAATAATCTCAACTTTCATTAAAATTCATAAACCATAATTCTAAGCCTCCTTAGTATTAGAGAACTGCAGGAAAATATGACCCACGCATACCATAACAGATCAAAATAAATAAATAAAAAGACAGAAAGTAAAGAATGACAATTCAAACCTTTTTAGCTAGGTCTTGGTTTTCCCTTAAATCATCTTTTCTGGCCTAGTTTTTTGATTTTGGCACCCTTGAACCAGCAATACTGCTAACTATGCTATGGCTGAAAAAACCCAAAACATCCAACCCAAAAAAAACAAGTCACAGAAATAAAAGAGGCATAATCTTATTATAAGGACATCCACAACTGGGCACAAGTGGGAAAAAATATGAGAAAGTGGGAAAGAAAGTGGGAAAGAATATGAGGAGTCCCATGTATACTGTTAGGAAGGGGAGAGAGTACTCAGCAGCACAATGCAACAGCATTTTGAAATCACAGTGGTTTTCTATTTAAGCAAATGCAACACTCAGCACAGTTTCATTAGAGGGAATGAGCAGATCTTTTCATGTTAACTGCTTAAGAGGATCAATGAAACAGTTATACTTAGTGTCTAATAAAAGGCTTTAAATCAATTCAGAGACTATGCTAATTCAATTCAGATTATAGTCTACTACTATGGAATTTTATTTAGGTATGCATTTAGACATACACAATACTTTTGCAGTTATAAAAATAATTAGATGGTGATGACAAAGGTGAGCTAAATCAGCTCTAACTCGCCAAAGCTAGTAAATGGGATTCAAAGAGACTGAAGCAGGATCACATAGTCCAAATGTACATTTCAGGATCTTGCCTCAACTCACTCTCTTCTTCCCTTGGACGTTAAAGATCACAGACCATGGCTGGACACTGCATTTCCATTACAGTGAGCATAAAGCAAAGCACAGGTATGATAGAGAGATTGCTCCTCTGCCCCATCTGTGATCGGGAGCCAAACACTTAACATGCAATTTTCTCTTTTGAATTGGCTGCAATACAGGAATAGGATACCCTGAGCTCCCCCAGACAGCTGAGAACCTGTAAAAATGCCTTTTTGCCACTCCTGCAAGGATTCAGAGCATTTAGTAGCGGCACGAATTAATTACCAATGAGATTCTGAGAAGTTTTGGCTGGGTGGTAGCCAGCAGTTTTAAGAGTTGCTTATATAAATAGGAATCAATGTCCAGTAGAGCTAGATAGGAGCATCCAATCTGGCTCGCACCCAGTTTCAACCCTTGCCAAAATAGCAGAGTCTGTGTTTAAACATGAGCATAACATCTTCCCTCTTTGGAAGAGATTTTGTTGAATGGGCATGTTGAGGATGGGGAATAGTGTCTCACTGTTGAGTTCTCTGACACTGCCTCCTTACAGCTTGTGCTGAATGGGGCACAGTATGATACATATTCTCTGACTGAATGGGTATTAGCTATGCTTCAGTCAGGATCATATTTCCACTGGTAAAAAGAAACTGTTTGTTACCAGTATGTAAGCACAAAATGTTCCCAATAAACTTCTTTTTCAGTAACAAAAAAGCACAAATTATTTTATTGATTGCATATTAGAAGAAATATTTATTTTAACAAATATGCAGGAGTCAGGTCATACAGAAACTAACAGGGTTTTTTTTGCACATGCTATTTTGAGTAGGATACCTTCTCTTTGATAGACCATGCATTTTCATGGTAATCCAGATAAACTCGACTGACTTGGGGAGTGCAGTTTCAGTGTGGACACCATCAGCTGAAGCAGCTAAGTGGGCTGTAGCTGCTGAGATTCAGCACTGCCAGATCCTGATTAAGTAATGGGGAGCAACTGCATGGCTGTGCTGACCACCTTCTCCATCGAATGGCACAGCTGCAGCTTGCTATGTGGGCAACTGAAGCCTCAGAGATGTCTTCCTTGCTGTGTGGTGAGCGTGATCATACACAGGCATGTGTCGGCTATGACACACAGACAGCAAAGTGCTCCAATATTTGGAAAAACAATCCCTTTTCCACAATCACTTGCCAACTCCCAGGGTCAGCCTAAAGCATGAGATGTCAGAGCTGTGCTGTTCAGCCAGATAGGTAAGTTGCACTCTTGCCCCATCGTGGCCTCTGGCTGTGCAATTAGTGGGGAGGAAACTCTCCACCTAAATGCTCCCAGTGTGTTGGAGACCTGTAAATCATCAAGGTCAGCCCCCATTCTGAGACTGGTTAAAAACCAAAACACCCCCCACCCCCCCTAAAATAAACTAACTAAAGGTATAAATCCAGTGGGGGAGGGGTGAGGTGGGGGTGTGTAAGAGCCTTTCAGGTGCTTCCTAATCAAATAACTAGTTTCAAAGGTTTGTGGACTGTTGGACAACAGCTGGAAGCAGAGATAAGATTTTTAAACCAAGGCACAGGTAGAAATGCTTTAAAACTTGGCACTGCTTTGAACTGGGGGTAGGGGCAGCAAGGTAGAATGATGGGTCTGGAGAGGAGCTGCAGTGAATGGCTTCCCTGAAGGATAAGCCTTGTGCAGGGATGGAGTTAAGCCCTCTGAAGCTGGTACCCTGGTGAAGCTGGAAGCTCCTGTGAGTGAGCTGCCTCCTAGATCCCTACAGCCCTCTTAACCTGGCTGACAGGTCAAGCAACGAACCACAGCACCACCAGAGACTACATAAAACAGGGGAAAAAACACATGTATCAGGCAGATACTCTGCTGAGACAGTGAACATGAAACTGAGCTACTGTGGCAGAAGGGAAGGGAGAAAATAGGGTGAGGTAAGGCTGAAGGGAGGTGAACGGGCATTGCGGCACAGGAGGATAACGTGAAAGGCACCAGCAGCCACTGTCCCACAGGCACGATGAAGAAACCATCCTGAGGACTTAACCAGGGACTCAGCTCCAAAGGAATAAAAGGAATGAGATTATATCTGGCACTGGGCAAGACGGCAAGAGAAAGACCACATTTTTAAGGACTTTTCTCATGGCAGCATATGACCTTTTAGAGTATTTCCAGACAATAAACTGAATCTGACTTCTTCGGGGATCCTGGCTCCCTTGCACGAGAGTAGTAGGGACGAAGATGTATGACACAGCAAACTGGCAGCAGTGAGTTTGTGGACAACTGTCATGCCCCTTGCTCCATGTGACCTTGAAATGAGGACATTTAAGTTTAGAAAGTGTGAAGGTAGTCTGAAATTAAAAAAACCCCAAACATAGGTAGGAAAAAGAAAAGGCAGGGGAATATCCTCCACACCCTGTATCTGGATTTTATAAATTTTTGTCACAACTACTTAAACAGATGACAGTAATAAAACAAATCCATACAGGTTTCTATTATTTTCAGTCCTACTAAGGAATTTTTCAGGTCCCTATTAATCTATTGCACATAAACCAGGATTTTAAACAATGGGTTTTGGAGGCAGAGCTGTAGCAAAATATAGAAAAGGGTTGAATTTATTTTTTGGGGAGGGTGTTTGGGTTTCTTTTTTGTTTTTGTTTTTGGTTTTGGTTTGGTTTTTTTTTTTAAAAAAAAAGAGACAAGAAACTCATTCTTCAGTGATCCCCAAGGATGGATACTACACAAAGAGCTACTTGCAGATGCGCAGATTTCTTTTAGCAAAGGCTTCCTCATCTTAATCTGAATATGTAAAAGATTTCTAGAATAAATGAATAAAACATTAAACTGATCATAAATGGATTTCTTATCCCCATAAACTGAGATGGTGGATTAATAATAGGCATGTAGATCTGGTGGAGTAGTATTCAACAAGAAATTTTCTATGTACTCACTTTCCCATTCTGAGCATGATCATGAAAACCAAGGCCCTAGAAAAAAATATCCATACTGGTGGGATAAAAAATGTGTGCACAGATACTCTGATATCCTCCCACATTAGTCATGGCCATAGTTTACAGACAGTAACCTACAGAAGAATGTTCCTTGGTATGGGGATGCTAGGGTGTGCTGGTTTTGGCTGAGATAGAGTTAATTTGCTTCAAAGTAGCTAGAATGAGGCTACTCTTTGTGCAGGAAACAGTGCTGATAATTCAGGGATGTTTTAATTACTGCTGAGCAAATGCTTGCACAGAGTCAAGGCCTTTTCTCATACCACCCCACGAGCAAGTAGGCTGGGGGTGCACAAGAAGTTGGGAGGGGACACAGTTGGGACAACTGACCCCCACTGACCAAAGGGATATTCCATAGTGTATGATGTCATGCTCAGCATATAAAGTGGGGGGAAGAAGGAGGAGGGGGGGAATTTCAGAGTTGTGATGTTTGTCTTCCCAAGTAACTGTGATGAAGCTCTGCTTTCCTGGGGATGGCTGAAGACCTGCCTGCCGATGGGAAGTCCTTATTTTGCTTTGCTTGCATGTGCGGCTTTTGTTTTTTAAACTGTCTTTATCTCAACCCACGAGTATTCTCACTTTTACCCTTCTGATTCTCTCCTACATCCCACCAGGGAGGAGTGAGCAAGTGGCTGGGTGGTGCTTAGTTACCAGTTGGGGTTAAACCACGACACAAGAAACACAGCAATATCAAGACTCCAAAATGTAACAGCAAGCTGAGAAAAGAACAAAAATAGATTTCTAAAAAGAAGAAAATTACTATTTAAATCTTGCTTGTTATTCGAAGTAGACACATTAAGTTCCTGGACTTCAAAGCTACACAGTCAAGTCTTTTCTGGTATAATCAAGTTCCTAGAAAAAGTCAGAAAGCTTATTTACTTTTTTTCCATTGGGAATCATTAACTATGGATTAAGAACCCCAGTCACAATACCAAGCCTGGCACAGGTTTGATAAACTAGCTAGCTAGTGCAGCAAAGTAAGCATAGTCTGAAAGCATATTTAGGTATCTGAAGCCTATTATGTATTTTTTAAAGGAGTCTAAAGACTTCTACAAAAAAATTTGCTATGCAATATACATTAGCAAGACCATCCTCTCTTTAGTTCATTGTTTTACTTTCCATCTTTACAGACATTCTAGTTTCACATATGGTATTTGCACTTTTGTCATTAAGCAACACAAGCCTCAAAGATGACACAAGCTCTTTTTGGCTAGTTATCAGTGCACAGAAGAGTCTCTGCTTCCAAAGAAATGAGTTCCTTGAAGATACAGGGGATGCCTTTTTGCATAGCAATTAAAAATCCACTGAAAGAGTAGGAATATTTTTACGGAATTTTTCAGTCAAGCTCTGATTTTAGGTGAATGACCCACAATACTTACACGAAACAAGAAAGGTCATATGAAAGACAACTTAGTCCAATTAGTTTAGGAAGTGCAATCTAACATCTGACCACTCTCTGGCAGTCTGCACAAAAATAGGAATTTCTCGATTCAATTCCTGGTGGTAAGTGTCTACCTCACAAGAAAAAAACCCCAAGCCCAAAACCAAAATCCTGTCAAACTGACATCCTTACTGGAAGTCTCAGCAGAAAAAAAACCCTCAGGACTGAGTAAGTATGAAGGTTTCACCAGACATTTAACCTTCAGAAGTAGCTCCTCCGCAAGACAACTGAGCCACAGTGGTGGGGGTAGGGACAAGCATGACTTAATTGTGCCCCTGTTGCACTTCCCTCGTGTGCATAGGATGGCATTTCATCATAGCTGCCAACTCAGAATCTCTCATCAGAGAAAAGAGCCACTTACAAAACAGAAGGGGTTAGAAGGTGAGAGAGCAAACCCCTAAACCCCAACTGCTTGGTCAGAAAAGTTAAATAAGAGTTGCAGTGCCATTGCCCCCCAAAACTGGAAATTCTGTAAAAAACGGGATTCAGTAGTTTGAATAAAGCAGATCTCTTCTGCTACAATATGCACTTACAGAAAACGAAATTTTTTTTTTTTTTTTTTTTTTTTTTTTTTAATATGGCAATTTAATGTCTACCTGGTGTGAAACACAAAACACAGAGATTACAGGAATCAGCCCCTGGTGAGGCTAAAATACAGTGATGCAGAAAGCTAGAAACATAATTTCTTACAGTCTCAGCAGCTCATTTTCCTGAAATGCATTAGCTTTATTTGTAGCCCACTGAGGGATAGCTGAGACTCAGTAATGAAAATTTTAAGATATTGAGAATTTGGCCTCTCTCAAGCTAGTGCATGGAGCAGACTGACCCACAGTGCCTTCTCCTACCATGCAAGCAGCACTGCATCTGGTCAGGTGAAGCCTCAGCTTCCAGGGTTGACCTGGAAAAGAAAAGAGCATCACTCTGCCAAAGCTTGTTCCAGCCTGACACCCACATAGACAAGCTACTTCTTTCATTAATAACCCATTTTACTGGTTTTGAGGTTTCACAATGCAGAATTTCACTGACATTTCACTGACATTTCAACAGCTAGATTCCAGCTAGGAAATGTCCTAAAATTACACCATAGAGACTGGTAGCTTACTAAAAACCCTCAATGTCAAAATTCAAAGTACATTCAGTTTAAACACACCCTTGGGGGAATTTTATACTAACTACTTTCTATTTCAGACTATTCACTTTAAGCTCAACCAGCAATGCTTCATCACTTATCCAGGAAAACTCCCCTCTCTGCCACCCATTCTCAATCAACCTGCCAAATTAATTATCACCCTGCATTTGTCTATTGCTAAAAGGGGGGAAAAAGCAAATAGATGAACATAGCAGTGACCCGAGCAAAAATGAATCCTCTGAAACAGAACTAATTAAATCAGTTCAGTGATCTTCCAGCATGACACATTTCTCCCACTCCTTCCCCAAGCAGCCCAGTTCCCGCATCTCCTCCAACTGTCCTCATCTGGGTGCTCACATGGGTCTCAGATGTCTATCCAGCAGCAAACTAGGAATCTTTTCTACTCAGCCTTGTAACCACATGGTTTAAAATAAAGGAAAAAACAACGTTCAGAGAAAATTCACCATGATAATTTCATGCTGACATTTACATGAAAATTTCTGGCCGCAGAATACGTGTTTCAGCCAGACAGCACTAGGGTTTGATTACCTACCTCAAATATATGGGACCACAGGCACCATGCTTTGGTGCTTCACTGTCTTTATGAAACGAGCAGAGTTTGGAGCACTAGCAGAGTGAGGCTTCCCCTTTGGTACCCCAGTCAGGACCTACAGCAGAGCTGGCAGGACTAACAGGTAGAGAAGTTACAGAATTTGTGGATTAAAAATCACTGCCATGAGCCAGACACCAAACCCTGTGCTAACTGCATTCCCAACCTAGCAAGTACATGTGCATGCACAACCACAGCATCGGTGACCCTGCTGACTCAAAAGGGACCAGTTCAAGGAAGCAAGTTACACATGAATTTTAGAGTTCCTGTCCTATAATTTTAAGTGACAGTGCAGCTGAAATGCATGCAAAAATACATTTGGGACATAAATTTCCCCACCACTGAAAATGGCATCATTTTCATTGCAGTCATGCTGTCGGACAATGTGTGAAATTCTGTGTCAGCTGATAACAGCATGCTCCTGCAGTGAGAATGTCAAAAGCTATAGGTGCAGGACCACAACAGAAACATTGACATCTTCTCTCTCAGTGAACTTCAATTTCCATCACTTTTCTCTTTATGCAGAACACATTCAGAGCAAGAGCAGAAAAGGGAAAGACAAAGAAATGCAGGGTAACAGGCCCACATGGGGAGCAAAAAGACACTGAAGTGGCATCTCTCTTTACTAGGGAGTTTGGATATAAAGTCAATCCAACCTTGGTTTTCTTCCTATACAATGTATAATACGGACAGTGTTTCCTTAGATGGAAGGCACATCATGAATGGACACCAGTACTGAAAGGCAGTGAAATATGGATGCCTGCACAGGATCCCTGTCAAGTTAGGTAAAACTTCAGACGCAGGAGCCCTGATAATGGTGCATAGGAACAGAACAACAACACACAGAGGCAGGATTCTGAGTAATCTCTAGGTAGGTGCCTACACAGGCAACAGTTTGTCATTCGCACCCATCTGCTGCTCCAAATAACACACACACACACACACACACACACACGCTGTCACATATGCTTTTTCCCATCTGGATTGCAGAAATGCTGGATATAAACAGGCAAAAGCCAGGAAGATGAATACTGGGCTTGTGCTGTACAGGGGGGAATCAACAGTCAGCTTCATCCCCTCTAACAGGAATAATTTCAGCAGA